CCTACAGAATGGAGACAAGTAAAATTGATTGCTGTACTTTCTTTTTTATTTTTATTTTAATATTTATTTATTTTGGTTGTGCTGGGTCTTAGTTGCAGCATGCAGGATCTTTCGTTGCCATATGCGGGCTTCTTAGTTGTGGCATGTGGACTCTTATTTGCGGCATGCATGTGGGATCTAGTTCCCCAACCAGGGATCGAACCTGGGCTGCCTGCATTGGGAGTGCAGAGTCTTACCCACTGGACTACCAGGGAAGTTCGTGTACTTTCTTTTTAAAAAAATACTTTTATACATCATGATGGAATGAGAAAAATCTGGGATGTAATTCAGAACACCTAAACTTCCTTGCCATCTTTTGCGGTCACCTAAAGCATGACCCTAAATGTTTCATGAAACCTCTCAGACTTAAGCCACTTGTCTATACATTGGTAATGGCATATCTACCCTGCTTAGCTAATAGAATTATTGTGAAGATCACATGAGATGAAGTGAGAAAATACTTCATAAACTATAGTACATAATACAAATGAGAAGAATTGTTAATACTTTCCCTAAGCTTAAACGTGCCTGCTCATTTTCAGACTGTGAGAGAAGGCAGATAGATGCCAGAGAAATCAGTAAACTATATGCAAGAGTACTGAGCTGGAGCATTTCTTTTTATATTTTCTCAATTTTATTCCATGACCTGATTCTAGGATAAACACCAGAACTTAACCTCACAATATCGTTTTTAAAAGGCACTTGCTGGGCTTCCCTGGTGGCGCAGTGGTTAAGAATCCGCCTGCCAATGCAGGGGACACAGGTTCGAACCCTGGCCGGGGAAGATCCCGCATGCGGCAGAGCAGCTAAGCCCGTGCGCCACAACTACTAAAGTCCGTGCGCCCTAGAGCCCACGAGCCACAACTACTGAGCCTGCATGCCACCACTACTGAAGCCCGTGTGCCTAGAGCCCGTGCTCTGCAACAAGAGAAGCCACCGCAATGAGAAGCCCGCGCACCGCAATGAAGAGTAGCCCCCGCTCGCCGCAACTAGAGAAAGCCCGCGTGCAGCAACGAACACCCAACGCAGCCAAAAATAAATAAATAGATTTATTAAAAAAAAAAAAAGGCACTTGCCATAGGAAACAACGTGTGTGTGTGTGTGTGTAACTGATATGGGATGAATTGTGTGTCCCCAAAAAGACGCATTGAAATCCTAACCCCCAGTACCTCAGAATGTGACTTTATTTGGAGATTGGATCTTTATAGAGTTAATCAAGTTAAAATAAGACCATTAAAGTGAGTGCTAATCTGACTGATGTCTTTATAAAAGGGGAAATTTGGACACAGACATGCACACAGGGAGAAAGTTGTATGAACACAACGACAGATATTGGGGTGATGTTTCTACAAGCTAAGGAATGCAAAACATTGCTGGTAAACCCTGAAAAGCTAGGGGAGGGACGGGGGCCAGATTCTCCCTCCTGGCCCTCAGAAGGAACCCACCCTGCCGACACCTTGATCTCAGACTTCCAGCCTCCAGAACTGTGAGACAATAAATGTCTGTTAGTGAAGCCTCGCAGTTTGTGGTACTTTGTTACGGCAGCCCTAGCAAATTAATACAATAATTTTTAAAGTGAGAGCTAAAGTGATTTCAGATACTCGGTCTTGGCCCAGCTGGTGGTTCCAGGTTTATCTCCTAAGCTCACCTCACAGTCAAAATTTGTCCTCCGTTCTTCCCCATCTGTACCTTATCTCAATACCCTGATCAACCTTCATTAAGACTTTTTTCTTTGTCCCCTCCAGCCTGATGTCATCTCTCCCTCCTTGGAATCCACTGGCAGTTTGCTCCTTCCTTATTATCTTAATATAATCTGCCTTGTATTATTTGGAAATTTATTTTAACTTTTCTTCTCAGAGCATAAATTTCTTGAAAAAGTTTGTTTTGTGCATCAGTTTTCTGTTCAACATTCCTCTTCCAGCATAATGCTTTGCACATGCTCATACAAACCTACTGAACTGACATTGAGGCATCTATGATAAAATTAATTACTGCATAATTATTACATAACCACATGTATTATGGTATTATATCTAAAATATTATATCTAAAATATATTATGCAATATATTATATTAAATTACATATTTTAATAATGAGAAATTCATGCTGTCATTACATCTGATGGGACCTGCAAGCCAATCTCTCCCTGCTAATTTTGTAATCACTCTGCCCAAAGCAATAAGATCTGATTTACATGTCCTGGGTAGGTAGGAAGATTTGTGTTTTCATATGTCCAAGTTAATTTTTTTAATGCCGAGTTCTAATTCTGTAAACAGAATCATTTAAAATTATTTTCCAAAAAGGAGGCATTCCTTTGGACTCAATTTTTTTTTCATGGCAAAGGAAAACTGAGACAAACGTTAGTACAACCAAAAAGTACTCTCAGGTCCTACACGGAACAAGAGAATGCACTCATTCTTACACGTCACAGGGTAAACGGTCACCTCCCATTTCTGAGGCCTCAGGGCTGTAGATTCACTGGCGGAAGTTGGTCCAAGTGTAGCTCCTCCCGCCCAAGGCTTCCAGAGCAATGACATTATCTGAACTTCGAGCAAACAACCCCGTGGAATCAGCACAGCCACCAATGAATTACTGATGCTGTATTATGTTTTAAAAAGCAACATTCAACGAGGTATGATGTTGAACAGTACCCCAGGGATCATTCTAAGGACTCCCTCCCCTTGACTTTTCTCTTAGTTACAAAAACGTTTGTATTTTAAAAGCCCTTTAGAAGCTTGCTCACCTGCCAGCTGCCTCCACCTGGGGCTTTGGGCTCTGCACAGACACACTGAGGTGGAGTTTGGTTTCCACAGGTTTCCCAAAGCTCTCCCTCTGGGGTTCTGCGGGCCCTGATGCTTTCTCAGGCCCCAGAAGAATGCGATTGGTATTCTTCATGGAGCTGTCTGGGCAGCCATGGTCTGAGTCCTCCCTGCAGGGCTCTGAGAGCTGAGCACAGCACACACCTGTGGTGCTCACAGAGCGCATGGGGGAAGTGGTGGCATCCGTGGGGATGCAGCCCTCGTCCTGGTCATTTGTGCCAGGGGGTCTCTGGTGTGATGATGGGGGCTCTCCCCAGCTTTCCAGACCTGGCCTAGGAGAGCTTCAAGCTGCTGAGTGGCAATGACTCAGAGGTTCTGCTTCTCCTGGCTCTCCAGTAGCCAAAACCCACATGCTTGGCAGACATCACCTCAGTAGGTCTCAGCCTGAACCCACGCTGGATGCAGACTGCACACACTGACTTTGTGGGAAGAGGGCTTCAGGGGTACAGGGGAGAGTCTGTGTTGGAGAGCAGGTGAAAGAGGTTGCTGTGAGGAGGAGTGTTCTCATGATGTGCTGGGGGTGAGACACAGCAAATCCAGGCAGACCTTTGATCTGAGACCCGCCTGGGCATGTCAGCACAATTACTTGGCTCTCCTGCTGTGATTCCAGAGCCAACGGGCCACCCCAACTCCCAGTGAAGGGAACATAGCAGAGGCTGGCACAGAAGCCAGCCACCTGTGAGGCATCGCTCCGGGCTGTCCTCTCTTACCTCGGGTTCCACCCCTTGGCTGTTTCCTGGAGAATTAACTCTGGGAAAACCATCTGGGCAGAAGCTGGGCTCTTATGAGCAGCACCGAGACTCTTAATTTCTGAGATATTCCCCTGATAAAAATGTCTCTTCCCTCCCTCTCTTCTGCCTCCCCCTTCCCTTTTGGGTGAGGTTTCAGAAAGCCAAATTCAACAGCTCTCCAGTTTTAAGAATTTGAGGAATAAGAATAACCTACACATGTCTATAATGGGAAAGAATGCGAAAAAGAATATATATATGTATAACTGAATCACTTTGCTGTACAGCAGAAATTAACACAACATTGTAAACCAACTATACTTCAATAAAATTAAAAACAAAACCAAAAATGAAACAAAAAAGAATAAGCTACAAGTGTCTATTAAAATTCACGACTTCATTCTCCCTCTTTCTTCCCCCCCACACGTGGTGTGTTCCCAGCAATGATCCTGTAGGCAGCTACTAGGACCCCCATTTTACTGATGAGGAATCAGGAGTTTTAAAGGACTTACTGAAGGTCAAACAGTGTCGGGGCACAAATCCGGAGGCTCAGGCTCCAAGTCTCGTGCCCTTTTGATCACACCATGCCAAAGTAGAGCCACAACAGCCCTGGCCCATCCACTCAATGGTTCTCTAACCTGGGGCAAGCGTAAGGTCCATTAGAACAGAGCCTTTGTGCACCTTGCTCACTGTCACAGCCCCCGTGCAGAGGACAGTGCTTGGCACACAATAGAGACTCTTCCTGGGCCTTCATTTTCTTTTTTTTTTTTTTTTTTTTTGCGGTACGCAGGCCTCTCACTGTTGTGGCCTCTCCCGTTGTGGAGCACAGGCTCCGGCCACGCAGGCTCAGCGGCCATGGCTCATGGGCCCAGCAGCTCCGCGGCATGTGGGATCTTCCCGGACTGGGGCACGAACCCGTGTCCCCTGCATCGGCAGGCAGACTCTCAACCACTGCACCACCAGGGAAGCCCGGGCCTTCATTTTCTAAGACAGAGAAATGATAGTTACTGAGCTGATTGAGTAAAGGCAACTGTGCAGACTCTAAATTGCTGCATAAGAGTGTGCCATGGTAGTGATTATATGTCCACAGCCTCCTTTGCTCCTGGGTATTTCATCCTTATTTTTGTCTTCTATCCCTCTTCTTTCTACTCCCCAGGGGTGGACAGCTCAGCCAGGGACTCAGAGCGGTTCATATGGCTTCTTGTCAGCAGCTCTGACACGTATCCTGAATAGAAGCAGACAACAGCCCAGGGAGAGATGCTGTGAGTCTCTGGGCTCTTTCTTCTGCTCTTTCTGATAACCAAGAAGTCACTCTGCAGTCTGCCATCAGGGCTGAAATAAGAAAGAATGGGGAACTCAACATATCTGAGAAACGCTGCTGGTCCCTCTGTTAAAGTGATGAGAGAACAGACATGAATGAGACGGCCCTGGGGGAGGCATCAGTGATCAGAAGCGGGTTCTGGGCCAGAGGACCCTGCCCTACTCCACAGCCCCAAACTACCCCCTTTAAATTGGTCTTTCTTACTTTCCTCATCTCACTTGCCTCTGCCTTTCGTCACTGTTGAGAGTTGGTTGTCTGCCCACAATATTCTATTTTCCTCCTAGGAAACGCTATAGTTTAGGGAAGCCCAAGTAGCAGATATTCCTTTGGTTCACAGTCCTTGTATGTGTGTAAAGAGCAGTCATATGGCCCCATTGCCACAATTTAAATTTGTGTGGCTCCCAGCATGGTGTTTTGTATATTAAACACTTCAATATTTTTAATAAATAAGGGAAGAAATTGCTAGATGCCTAATCCCTGGGAATGATGTAGCGTGTTCATTTTGATCATTTTATTTTTAAATTATACAATATTTTGAACATACGGAAAAGCACAGAAAATTAAGTAATTAACACTACGGATTCAACCCTGAGATTCAACAAATGTGAAACCCTCACCACATTGCTTCAGATGTGCAAAAAGAAATTAAATCTTACAGACACAGCATTTAGGATAAAGGGAAAGATGGAGACATTTGGTGCTCTCTCTTTTTTAGAAAAAATGGATCGTTTAATAAAACTCTATATGTCAAGAATGAACTTAAAATGCTAGAGATGGTATAGTGAATGTGAGGATTTTTTTTTTCCTTTCTGCTTTTCAGAAGCATTAACTGGGTAGAAAATTTGGGTCCCAGAGAGGAACTTTACCAGTAGTTGGTAACAGGAGCCCCAGAATCCTGGTTCTTTCCCAGATCTTTTTTCCCACTGTTTGCTCAGAAACTGGTTCCAGCTCCACCGTGGTCCGTCTGCCCGCTGGGGCTGAGCTGCCTCTTCTTTTCCAGGAGTGCTCGCCCTGCGCAGCCCACCGCTATGATGCTGAGAACCCGCGGACGGCCCTCCGGAACCTTCCCGACCTCTGCTCTGACTACTGCTCTGCATTCCACTCTAACTGCCGCTCCGCAGTCTCCCTGCTCACCAATGACCGCCGCCTCCAGGAATCCCATGAAAAGGATGGCGCGCGCTTCTAATGGCTCCTCAACCTTCCCGACAAGGACCACTGCTTCCCTAACGTCTTGAGGAGTGACCATCTCAACCGCAACCTGGGGGTGGTGGCTGAGAACCCTCGGGGCTGCCTGTGGCCAGCGGGCTGAGGAACCCGGTCTCCATGGTCCACGCTGGGGACGGCACCCGTCGCCTCTTCGTGGCCGAGCAGGTGGGGGTCTATCTGCCTGATGGGAGTCGCCTGGAGCAACCCTTCCTGGACCTCAAGAGCATCGTGCTGATCACTCCCTGGATGGGGGATGAGAGAGGCTTCCTGGGGTTGGCTTTTCATCCCCAATTCCACCGCAACCACAAGTTCTATATTTATTATTCATGCCTGGGCAAGAAGAGGGTCGAAAAGATTCGGATTACTGAGATGAAGCTTTCTCGGGCAGATCCCAGCAAAGCTGATCCCAAATCGGAGAGGTGAGGCATACCCACGAGAATCTGCAGCTGTGTACTGTGTTTCAAAATGTTGCCCATCAGTCCTCTGAGATGATATAGGAGAGCTTTCCTGGGTTTAGACCTACTAGCTTATAATGATGATAAAGGAGTCATTGTTGATTACTGAGGTTAACCCAAGTTAGCTTCTTGAGTCCATGGCTTCTTCATGGCTACAGCCACCCACCTTACAGTTATACCTGGAACCATGCTTGCTTGAGTTTGCAGAGGGTAAGCAAAGGCCAGCAGCCGTAAGGGTTTGAGAAATGATTTTAGATAATATCAGTATATTAAATATAATAGCAGCCTCTGATTATTGCGTGACCATTAGATCCCAGGTCCTTTACCATGAACATGGGAATTCTCATCCTTGCAGGAAGCTGTGACGCAAGGCCGTTAAGTTACTGATGCCTGGTCAGATGAACGGCTCAGTTCTAACTGACCCCACACTCCTGCTCTTTCACTCTACCATGCTGCCTTTTTTCCTTCTCCTTTCTGCCTTTTCTCTCTCTTCCCATATAGACAGGTTAGGGGATTGAAAAGAGCATGAAGAAGTGATAGACTGACCCCTGTGTGTTTGCCCGAAGGAAGGGACTGAGAGTTCTTGTAGAGCGGAGAGTAAGGCTGAGCCCCAGCTACTGGGTTTTGAGCCCTCACTATATGCCAGACACTTAGTGAGATATTTATATATATTATCTTATTTAACATTCACAATGCTTGCCTATGGTAAATTCTCTTACCATCCCCCATTTTATAGATTGATAGATTTTATAGAGGCTTAGAGGTATTGAGCAACTAAGCAGTTAATAAAAATTAGATTAGTCTTTTGTAGTGGTGCAACCTTCACAGAGCACCAAGCTCCTCTTATAATAGCAAGTGAACTTCCCCATCTAGGGCAAGTGGGTGACCGAAATATCTCTGCAGCAGCTTTTCTGATTCCTGAGGGAAGCTAGTTATTGGTCTCCTATGGGAGACTCACTCCTGATAGTCAAGGATTCCTTGATTCTAGGAGGAAAAAATATCCTGCAGGGTGGAAATATGGATCCCTAAAATATAAGGTTTTGCTTTTCATCTAGTCGACTTATGGCTTTGCAGGAAGATAGAAAAACCAAGAAATGGGAGAAACAGGACGTTTGCCTGGGCAGCACTGAGTCCTGTGCCTTCCCAGGGTTGATCAGCACATATGGCAAATTTATCATCTCCTTTGCTGAAGATGAAGCAGGTAACAAACGTACACGGTTATTCTGTTTCTGCTTACTGGAACTTAGATAATCACAGGCATTGTGAACTGAACATTTATTATCGTAATAATCATTATTATTACTATTGTTATTATTACTCTTATTATTGTTATTGAAAATGCAACTACCACTTTTTCTATTTTCACTGTCATTTAGTCACCTTTTTTTTTTTCTTTTTCTGCTGTATGCGCGCCCCTCACTGTTGTGGCCTCTCCCGTTGCGCAGCACAGGCTCCGGACGCGCAGGCTCAGCGGCCATGGCTCACGGGCCCAGCTGCTCCGCGGCATGTGGGATCCTCCCGGACCGGGGCACGAACCCGTGTCCCCTGCATCGGCAGGCAGACTCTCAACCACTGCGCCACCAGGGAAGCCCTAGTCACCTTTTATAATGTACTGGATACTGTTCTAAGCAGTTTACATTTTAAAATCTTATTTAGTAATCACAACACCCTCATGATGTGATTGTTACGTTTATTTCACCAATGAGGAAACAGATTGACTATGCCGACTTACCCCTTCTTTGTTGAACTGCACAGCTCACTGTGCAGGGCAGGCCAAGGTCTACACTGTAGTCTTTTCAATTCTTTGACTGTGAAGGAGGTGCATGTACTCCTTCCTTCCTGATTTTGTTCTAATCTGCAATTATACAAATGTGGACAGGGCCAACACTGGGGCAGGCAGTGGGTGTTTATCCTGCTGGTGTTGCCTGAGAGAAGGTACCTCTGATGATCCACCAGCTGGGCTGGGCTCTTCCTGACGCTGCCAACAGTTTGTTAGGCAACTTCTGTGAATGAACAAGGGAGAATTTCTTTCCTGAGAGATCTGAGAAAAGGGTAGACAGCTAGGTAGGAGGCTACTCACTAGAGAGATTAGGCATATGTTAAGGGCATCAGCAAAGCAAGGCATGCGTGCACATAAGAGCGGGGGGGAGGGAGGGAGAGAGAGAGAGGGACTCAGCTTTAATAAATATACTCAAAGTGTGAAATAAGAAAATGAGGTTTTAATTTCAGCTTTACATAAGTTATGTGTCAATTTGAAAGTTAACATTTTATTTTGTTTATGTAAGTGGCAACAAGGCCTGTGATCCTTCCGGTATTTGGCACTGCACCTAGCCATGCTTCGAGGCAAGGAAGAGAATAAAATGATCTCTTAGGGGTCCCTTCGAGACACAGGACTCTACAAGTGTAAACCAAAGCCTTGACGGTTTCCCACTTTCCACTCTGAGCCACGGGTGGCTGTACAGGAGCGTCACTTGAGTTGGACATAAAGAAAACCAGTCAGCAGCTGCACTGCTTCCTCTCAGCTAGCTTATGAATAGATAGTTCAGGATGAATAGTTTTTTGTTTTGTTTCATTTTGTTTTTGCGGTACGCAGGCCTCTCACCGTTGTGGCCTCTTCCGTGGCGGAGCACAGGCTCCGAACGCGCAGGCCCAGCGGCCATGGCTCCCTAAAGCCAGGGAGGCTGTCCCCGAGGCAAGTTATTTTCTTCCAGAGTTGCTTGCTTTTGTGTTTTTGCAAAGAGTGATTCAGATTTTCTGCGTGTGTTATAGTCTTTCCCATTATTGACCTGTTTAGAACTCAGTTTATTTCATTATTTTACTATTAGTCACCAGCTTGAGATAAGCCACATTGTAGTTGCACCGGAGCTCTGCCTTCACTGTTGCTACAGTTTATTTCCTGAGTTCTTCTAACCAACAGCTGGCACAAATAAACGAGTGAGTAAATAAATAAGTGAGTGGCGGGTGTGGGGCTACCCATGGCTGAGTTCTGATGGGCTGGATTTCTGAATGTCAGTCACTGAAGCACATCTTCAGGAGGACTGGCTGAGGTCACAAAGCTTGCAGTAAATTCACATTGCATGCATTTTGCTTTACATGGCCTGTTATAGTTTTTTGGTGTGTTTTTTTTGCCCTAAAATACATTTTTAAAAAATGTCAGACCCTACAAATGAAATTCACTTCTAGCATTGTCTTCCCCTGAAAATACATGCATGTCCAAATCTATGGCATGTTTGGAACATATAATTTACACCAACTGTAGTCATGTGTAGGGAATATGCAGCAATGCAGGGTTTCCAATTCTCCTTTTAGACCAGAAATTGTTTGCGTGGTTTGGAGCGACCCTTGCCCGAGGGTGACCTGTGCACATGAAGACAGTTGGTAGACACCTCATTTATCTAATGTCAGCATCACCTTGGATAGTACCTGGGGTTTCTAATCAGAGGGGCAAACTGGCTCTAGGGAAGGGTTTGTCCTAAGTCCTCAGACCCCCTTACAAGGGGAAGATTATAAATACAGTTTGTCAATACACAAAACCAAAGTCTATTAGTCAGTTGTTACCTTGTGTGTGTTACCTCTGCAAAGAACATCGGTCTCACACTCGGCCTGAGACAAACATTAGTCACTGCTCTCCACGAATTCAAGGAAGAAGATTGTTTAACTAGCTCAGAGCTGTCTAAAGCTCTAGACTTTTCCAATTTGCACCTTATTAAGACATTTCCTTCCATAAGGTTGAGAGAGAGCTTGTGTAAATCACACAACAACAAGTGCATTAAACCCAGTGCGATAGCACAAAAGTTGTGTCAGGCTCACAAAACTGTCACGGTGCCAGGCTTTAGGGAACAGAGACATAAGGAAGTAAGAGGAACTGCCGATGACTGAACACTTTCTCATTTAATACCTAATAATCAGAGAGGATGTTCTTATCTCCCTTTTACAAGTGAATAAATAACACGAGCGTTACCCAGGTGGAGAGGTTGCCCAAGACAACACAGATGGTAATGGGTGTTATCAGATTTCAAACTCAGTTTTATCTACCCAAAGTTGGGCTCATAAACCCTACACTGTCCCTCACAGGGAACCGTGAAACGAGGTGGAATGAGGTACTTACCATGAGAAGGGAGCAGTGTTTTCTGGAGTTCAAACATGAGGAAAAAGGGGCCCCTGGTAAAAGAGATGAGGAAGACAGTGGGTGGAGGTGATTTCTGTGGGGTGTGGAGAAGGCCAAGGGGGTGCCGAGGAGTCGAGGGTGTCACAGGAAATAAGGAACCCAAGACTGAAGAAGGTGGAGTTGGAGGACACGGTGAGATGGGGGAAGGGGGACTAACACAGTAAGGAAGGGGTAATAGAATATAAAGTATCTAATAAGTGGGCCTCAGCCTGTGGCTTGCCTATCTCTGGGCTTTACGGAGACTCCTTATCAGTAGTGGAGAACTGGGGAGGGACATGGAGGCTCACTGAGGTGAAGTTTCTGAAAGCAAAGAGGTGATAAATGAGATGAGAAGCCCTTTGGCTCAGGGAACATGAACAGAAACGTGCCTCTGGTGGGGGACACCCCAAGCTGGTCTGGGGGGCTGAGATGGACTTTCTCCTTGGGGAGCTCACAGACCTTGAGGCCTCACTGTCAGTCAGGATTTCAGGGACCCCTTCCTGGGGCTCACGCATTTCAGGGCCACAACCCCCGGTCATGATTTTCTGTGTGTTCAGCTGTCTTGGCCCGGCCTTGTGTCCTGTCCTTGATGGCCTGTTCCTGTTTTATCAGGGGAGCTCTACTTCCTGGCCACCTCCTACCCAAGCGTCTACACACCGCATGGATCCATTTACAAATTTGTTGACCCATCGAGGTGGGACTTGGGTTACCTTTTCTTCTCAGGTGATTGGAGCTTGTCTTTATCGCCATGGCAGGTCAGAAAAACAGTCCTCACTCCCCAAGAATTACCAGATATGATCAACGGAGCGTATCTTTCTTTTAGATGCAAAGCAGACTGGTCTGGGACTTCCCTGGTGGCGCAGTGGTTAACACTCTGAGCTCCCAATGCAGGGGGGCCGACTTCGATCCCTGGTCAGGGAACTAGATGCCACATGCACGCTGCAACTAAGGAACCAGTGAGCTGCAACTAAGGAGCCCACGTGCCACAACTAAGACCCGGCGTAACCAAATAAATACATTAAAGCAAAAAAAAAGCAGATTGAGCAGACAAATGTGCAGGACAATGCATCTGTAGGAATTATGGAATATTGGGGAAATGGTCTCTTTGTGGTTGGAAATGAGGATCTTGAGCCTTTCTAGGATGACTAGTCCAGACCTGTGGCTCCTGTCTTTTTTTTTTGTTTGTTTTTTTATGCTTCTGGAGACTTCTGTCTGGGATCATCTGACAGTGGGTGTACACCTCTGCCCACCTGAGTAGATATTGCCACCCTATCCCATGGGTTGGTCTTTGGCACATACAGTTGGCCCTCCGTATCCATGGATTCCACGTCTGTGGATTCAACCAACTGTGGATCAAAAATATTTTTAAAAATTCCAGAAAATTCCAGAAAGCAAAACTTGAACTTGCCATGCCCTGGCAACTATTTATGTAATATTTACAACTAATTACATAGCAGTTATATTTATTTACAATTATTTACATAGCATTTACATTGTGTTAGGTATCATAAGTAATCTAGAGATGATTTAAAGTATATGGAGAATGCGTAGGTTATATGCTGAACACCATACCATATTACATAAGGGACTTGAGCATCAGTGGGTTTTGGTATCTGTGAGGTCCTGGGACCCATCCCTGGGAGCTGTATCTAAAACTGTCGGGTTTCTCAGTGTCTCCACCTGATCCTTCCTGGAATTCAGTGAGAGGATTTATTCACTTGGTAGACTCTACGATGTTTAACTCTGCTTCTCTGCCCACCTTTCTCAGAGACTAACCAACCTTCAACTCATCAGGCAAAAGCCATACTACAGACTCCCATTTGTGAGGTCGTTGAAGATGTGTCCGTATCTGTCCCTGGGAGAGTGATGCAGTGTATCCATCCTGAGAGCTCTGGGCAGTGTGCGGGATTTATCTCAGGATTCTTACCCAAAGCCAGAAATTCTCCCCATGAATCAGCTTGAAGGTAGACCTGCAGACGAAGACTTCCCTGTGAGGCATCTGTTACCGTATCTGGGGTGGTGTTCAGAGTACATGTGCTGCTGGTGAGGGCTCAGAAGCCCAGCCCAGCACAGCTCCCCTTGGCAACCGGGCTTGGGTTTGGTGTTCTCAGATGTTCCCAGAAGAGACTCAGTCCCTGAGGTTGTGCCCAGGGACTCTCCTGGTGGAGTGCAGGGTTGTCAGGGGTGAATTAGGGACTGGCTGTCTCCACTGCTGGGTCTACTCCATGCAGATCTCCTGTGCTTGAAGGATGAAGCAAACCCAGGGTCTTTAAAGTGCTTCCAGAGGCTGAAGGTGCCTGGGTGGGGAGTTTTCTGTTCTTTCTATCAACAGGTTTCCAATGTGAATCCCTTTTTCTTTCCTTTGACAGTTTCCTGATTTGGCTGGGGGATAATTTAGCTTACCTCTAGTGGCATGAGAGATCAATCATAAAGCTGCTCCACGCGGAAGACACCCTTTCTCATGCGCCTTTCTCTCAGTTGACATTTATGGAGTCATTTCTGTGTCCCAGGCACTGTGCTGGGTGCTGTGTGTGCAGGCTGACATTTGATGCCGACAGAATCCCAGTGAGACAGGGTAACACCCTCAATCTACAGTTAAGGTAACTGAGCCTAGCTACCTTTGATCACTTGCCCGAGGTAGAGCTAGTAAGAGGTGACAGAGGATAGGAACGCACGCCTCTTTCTGGCTCAGTCATTTCAGCACTACCTATTCACTTCAGTTATAATGACGACTTGAATTGTACAGACTTCTGTAGCAGTGGGTCCAGATTCTGCTCTGCTTACTTCTTTAGCCCGTCTTTGCACTAAATGCACCCTCCCCAGCATTCTAAGGAGCAGTTGGTTTATTTATGTATGCTTTTCCCCTTCCATCTTTTCCTTCTGCCCTTCCCTTAGAATCATAGACCCTGGATGCTGGGTTTGAATCTCAGCTTTACCACCAACTAGCCGGGAGTGTTCCTAGTCGGCAAAGTCCCTTTTGTTTCAGAAGGTGCACCCAGGGGACAGCAGTTTGAGAATCAGAATACTAGGAGGCAGAGAGGCTGCCATTACTTAAGGGACCGTGCCATGAGTATCTGAAGAGATTTTCTTTAAAGGGAATCACTTTTGTATGTGCTGAGCACTGCTCCAATCGTTTTTTAAAATCTCATTTAAAAAATAATTTAGGGCTTCCCTGGTGGCGCAGTGGTAGAGAGTCCGCCTGCCGATGCAGGGGACGCGGGTTCGTGCCCCGGTCCGGGAGGATCCCACGTGCCGCGGAGCGGCTGGGCCCGTGAGCCATGGCCGCTGAGCTTGCGCGTCCGGAGCCTGTGCTCCGCGACGGGAGAGGCCACGGTGGTGAGAGGCCCGCGTACCACAAAAAAAACAAACAAAAAAAGAATTAAAAAAATTATATATCAATCACTTATGGTGTGCCAAGCACACAGTTCTTATTTAATCCTCCTCGTCTCCCTGTGAGGATGGGTGATATTACTTTTTCTATTTTACAGAAGCGAAAATCGAAACTTAGCAAGGTTTACTTGCCCATGGTCCCCAGGATTTGTACCCTATTCTCTCTGTTGCCGAGCCCATGCTCCAACCCCCTCACTACACTGTCCCCAAAGTGCCTCACTACAGTGTCCCTGTGATGTCCATGTCCTTTCTCCTCTCTGTCTGAGCTCACCGCAGATTTCCTGTTACATCTGTCCCATCCCTATGGATAAGGGAGGGCTGAACCCAGTTCTTGCACATGTATGCCTTTTGGTGACCGGAATTTCGTGGTTCCATCTTCAGAGTCTTGTATCCTCACTTTTTCTCTCTGTTTTTAGGCGAGCACCTCCAGGCAAGCGCAAATACAAGCCAGTGCCGGTGAAAACCAAGAGTAAGCGGGTCCAGTTCAGGCCACTTGCTAGTGAGTCCCTCTCTGTCTTTAGGCTCAGGCCTTGGCATCCAGGTGCCGGCACAGTGCCCTCTGCAGACAGCGGCAATCCCGGGGTGGCAGGTCTTATTTCCTCACCTAAGGCTTATCCTCTGGCTGAGGGCTATTACCTGTGGTCTGTATGTCTCCTCTGTGTACCAGGGTGAGAGGGGGCAGCACCTGCTTCTGCTGTGACCTGCTGCCATTCATTCTTTCATTCATTTGTTCGTTCAAGTATTCATTCATTCATTTAGTACTTACTTTGTGGCAGTCCCTGTGCCAATCCCTGAGGATACAGCAGTGAACCTGACCTGTAGGAGTCTAGAATCAAAGGAGAGGAGGGCATGTAGTGCAGGCAAATGAAGAAATAAATATAGCATTGAGGTTCTGGCTAGAAGCATGCCCAGGCGACTGAGAAGGCCCTCAGAGTGAGAACTTCTTTCCCCCGGGAGGGTAGTCAGGAAAGACTTACAGGGGAGGGACAGTATCTTAAGGGAACTATTCTAGAGCCATGCATCTCTGGAGCGGTCCCATTACAAAAGTAATCTATTTAGATCAAGGCCAGGGAATTAAACATATTAACTTCAAAAGAATTTATATTCAAGAACCCTCAAGTGGGCATAGGATTCCATAGGATTCTTCGAGCTACTTTCCAGAACTAATATTTCTCCTAAATAAACGCTTGTTTCCCAGAAATGGTCGTGGACTTGCTAAAGAAGAAGTCCGAGGAAGCTGCTAGAAAACTGTCCAATGCAACTTTAGCTTCCAGTCCAGACCGGACCTCATCTCAGAAAGGCTCATCCAAGAAGCCGGCTTCTCCCACAGGCAGCAGGAAGACGTTTCCAAGGTCTGGTGCAAAGCAGAGAGCCAGAGCGTGGTCTCCAGGCCCCCAGGGGAAGAGGAGGAAGAGCCCGAGACGCCCCCGAGGCAGAGGCAGCCAGTCGGCACAGTGGAGGTGAGCTGGCAGAGGTGTCCCTCTGCCTCTTCAGTCACGGTGACAGGTCAGGGGACGAGTGCCCAGAGAACCACCTTGCCACGCGGAAGCTGCTACTGCTGAAGGTGACCTTAGATGCATGGGAAGCCGGGGGTGGAGGTGGGAACCGGCGGAGAGAGCTTGATTTAGGCGGTACGGTTGTCCTGTCCACGGGAATTTTTCCATCTAAACGGATGCTCCTTGTCTGCTTCTGCGGGGAGACCAAACCCCATGTTGCCAGGGCACCTGGCTACTCATGTGCACTAGTCTGTAAACCTGCTTGGAATTCCACTATGTGTTTATGTTTTGCTTTGTAAATGCCTGTGACCTAAGGTAGTAGATCAACACTTGCTCCAATAGACAAGCTTCTTTGAGCTCGGAGAGCCCCTCTAAAATGGTCATCTCCTTTGCCCCCTTTAAATATCAGGGTCTGAATAAGGTTAGGTCCTGTTCTGTACCTCCAGTGCCTACTATTTTGCCCTGGCAAATAGCATAATAAACGTGACTACTTTTTGCATACCTATTCTGTGCTAAGTTTATATATTATATTATCTGAAACCTCAAAACCTTGCTTCTTATGTGTTGCTACATAACTTATGTTGAAGGTGAGGGAAGTGAGGCTTGGTGAGGTTAAGCCATGTGCCCTAGACCACAGCAGCCAGGGAGCAGGGAATTGTTCAGCTGGACGTGAGCCAATGCTCCTGTCAACCTCCGGTGAACTTGCCTCCCTGGAGGGGCCTCAATGAGGGTTGGTAGCTTTTAACCAGGTATTTGAAGAATGAAAGGGCTAAGAGAGGAGATGACCCCTGTCTTCAAGAAGTTCTCCAAATTGTGCAAAGCGTCCAGAACGGTATAGGCAATTTGACTTAAGCAGAACAAAAACAAAAATGCCTGGGTTGTTAAGGACTTTTAGAGATCACGTGATCCTTGCTTTACATGAGGTTGGACATATCCTGGACAGGTTATTTTAGACTTCCAAAGAAGTAGATTCCATTTTGTTTCTTTAGCAAACTCCATTTGTTGGGTAACCTAACCTAATCTAAATACACCAAGCCTCTCTGATTCTCTTCCTCTTGTTTTGTCTTTATTAAAGACGCAAAACACTGGTCATCACTTTCTGAAGATCATTTTTAGATCATCTCTTAGCTACCTTCCTTTGCCCTGTCTCGTGGTTTTGCTTTTCTTTACTTTTGCCTACCTTTGTAGCTCTTATGAACACTCTAGTTGACTGAAAAAAATCGCACAATCTAAAAGTTGAGAATTATACTTTATTTGGCAGACTTACTGAGGACTATAGCACAGGATAGCAGCCCCTCAGGTAGCTCTGAGGGACTGTTCCAAAGAGGTAAGGGAGGAGCCAGGATATATGGGAGTTTTTGCTGAAAACAAACAGACAAACAAACAAACAAAAAACATGTGGTTGAACATCAAAAGATTAATGCTAATCACAACAAAGAGACATTTCAAGTTAAAGATCTTAGTGCTTTTCTATGTATGGGAAGATGCAAGAGTCTGGGCTCACTGAAATTATTCCTTAGGTATGCATCTTAACTCTCTAGAGCCAGTCTCCTGTTTTTCTCCATCCTGAATTCTCCTCAGGGTGCACTGTCAGGGGAGGCTGCAGCGGCTGATGGCTTATAGCCACAACATCCTTTGTTTACTGAAATGGCAGGCGACATTCTCTGTACACACTCTCCAGGATAGAAATGAATTTCAGGGTCTGACCAACCCTGATATTTTACACTTTTAGCTTCTCAGATGAAGATATCAGCATAAAGATGGGAGGGCTTACACCCTGCATCATTTTGTTGAAAGATGGCTGAAAATCCTGGTGCAGTTCAGGGAGACTGGATCTAACCTCTGGAAAGAATATATGAGCTCACTCTGTCTCATTTTTTTCCTGTACAGTCTTTCTTCAAAGACGTGTGGCAAAAATAGGGTCTGGCCCTATCTCATGAATATAAATGCAAAAATCCTCAACAAAATATTAGCAAACTGAATCCAGCAATACATAAGAAGGATCGTACAACATGATCAAGTTGGATTCATTCCAGAGTTGTAAGGATGATTCAACGTATGGAAATCAATCAGTGTGATTTACCACATTAATAAAAGAAAAGACAAAACCATATGATTTTCTCAATAGGTACAGAAAAAGCATTTGATAAAATTCAGCGTCCATTCATGATAACGACTCTCACCAAAGTGGGTAGAGGGAACATATCTCGACAAAAGCCATGTATGACAAACCCACAGGCAACATGATACTCAATGGTGAAAAGCTGAAAGCCTTCCTGCTAAATTCAGGAACATGACAAGGATGCCCACTCTCACCACTTCTATTTAACATTGTATTGGAAGTTCTAGCCACAGCAATCAGACAAGAAAAACAAATAAAATGTATCCAAATTGGAAGGGAAGAGGTAAAATTGTCATTATTTGCAGATGACATGGTCCTCTATATAGAGAACCCTAAAGACTCCATGCAAAAACTATTGGAACTAATAAATGAATTCAGCAAGGTAGAAGGATACAAGATTAATTCACAGAAATCTGTTGTATTTAACACTAACAATGAAATATCAGAAAGAGAAAGTAAAAAAAAACCAAACTGTTTAAAATTGTGTTAAAAAAAACCCAAACAAACCTAGGAATAAACTAAACCAAGGAGGTGAAAGACCTATATGTTGAAAACTTTAAAACATTGATAAAGAAAATTGAAGATGACTCAAGAAATGGAAAAATATCCCATGCTCTTGAATTGGAAGAATTAATATTGTTAAAATGGCCATACTACCCAAAGCAATTTACAGATTTAATGTGATCGCTATCGAAATAACCATGACACTTTTCTCAGAACTAGAACAAATAATCCTAAAATTTATATGGAACCACAAAAGGCCCAGAATTACCAAAGCAATCCTGAGGAAAAAGAACAAAGCTGGAGGTATAACCCTCCCAAACATCAGACAATACTACAAAGCTGCAGTAATCAAAACAGTGTGGTATTAGCACAAATCAGACATATAGATTGATGGAATGGAATAGAAAGCCCAGAAATAAATTTACTTACCTATGGTCAATTAATCTATGACAAAGGAGGCAAGAATACACAATGGAGAAAAGACAGTCTCTTCAGCAAGTGTTGGGAAAACTGGACAGCTCTATGTAACTCAATGAAATTAGAACACACCCTCACATCATACACAAAAATAAACTTGAAATAGTTCAAAGACCTAAATATAAGACATGACATCATAAAACTGCAAGAAGAGAACATAGGCAAAACATTCTCTGACATAAGTTATGGCAATATTTTCTTAGCTCAGTTTCCCGAGGCAAAAGCATTAAAAGCAAAAATTAAAAAATGGGGCCTAATCTAACTTAAAAGCTTTTGCACAGCAAAGGAAACCATCAACAAAACTAAAAGACAACCTATGAAATGGGAGAAAATATTTGCAAATTATGCGACTGACAAGGGGTTAATATCCAGAATATACAAACAGTTCACACAACTCAATATCAAAAAAACAAACAATCCAGTCAAAAAATGGGAAGAAGACCTAAACAGACATTTCTCCAAAGAAGACATACAGATGGCCAACAGGCATATGAAAAGATGCTCAACATCGCTAATTATTAGAGAACTGCAAATCAAAACTACAATGAGGTATCACCTCACACTGGTTATTAAAAAGTCTACAATAATAAATGCTGGAGAGGATGTGGAGAAAAGGGAACCTTCTTACACTGTTGGTGGGAATGTAAATTGGTGCAACCGCTATGGATAACAGTGTGGAGGTTTCTTAGAAAACTAAAAACAGAGTTACGATATGATCCAGCAATTCCATTCCTGAGCATATACCCAGAAAAGATGAAAACTCTAATTGGAAAGACACATGCACCCCAATATTCATAGCATCACTATTTACAATAACCAAGACATGGAAACAACCCAAGTGTCCATCAACAGACAACTGGTTTAAGGAGATGTGATATATATATATATATATATATATATGTGTGTGTGTGTGTGTGTGTGTGTGTGTGTGTGTGTGTATGTATACACACACATACACACAATGGACTATTAGTCATAAAAAAGAATGAAATATTGCCATTTGCAGCAATGTGAATGGACCTTGAGAATATTATACTAAGTGAAGTTAGGCAGAGAAAGACAAATATTATATGATATCACTTATACATGGAATCTAAAAAAATAATACAAGTGAATCTATATATAAAACAGAAACAGATCACAGACACAGAAAACAAACTTATGGTCACCAGAGGGAAAAGAAGGCGGGGAGGGATAAATTAGAGTATGGGATTAACAGATACAAATTGCTATACATAAACTAGATAAGCAACAAGGATTTACGTATAACACAGACGACTATATTCCATATCTTGTAATAACCTATAATGGAAAACAATCTGAAAAAAATGTATATATATAACTGAATCACTTTGCTGTACACCTGAAACTAACACAGTATTGTAAGTCAACTATACTTCAATTAAAAAAACAAAGGCTCTGGCCTGGAAGTGGGTTTTCTTGGTCATGCTTTTATTTAATTTAATGAATTTATTTATTTGGCCATGCTGGGTAGCTTGTGGGATCTTAGTTCCCCAACCAGGGATTGAACCTGCACCCTCAGCAGTGAAAGAGCAGAGTCCTAAACACTGGAAAGTGTTTTGAGCCCAGAGAGAAAGGTGCTCAGAATTCATCTGTTAAAATAGAGGACCACATCCATCAAATTCAAGGCTTTCTGAACACAGCTTTTCAACAGGAGGATAGCGGGTCTAGAGAAGGGAACTGAACAGGTACCCTGAAATGCTGGGAACCTGGGGGAGAGGCAGGGTATTCCTCTCCGGCAAAGTGGCTTTATTTTTTGGAAGGTGGCTGGCAATGCCTGTGAACTTTCATGAAGGGGTAGGACTGTGAGAAAACAACCACTAGGTCACAGCCAACATGTATTCAACTTCCTTAGAGCCTGAGGAGTTGAAAGGTTCAGAAAAATGCACACACGCATGTGCTTGTTCTTTATAGAAACCGGCAGGAGGAGGGGGAAGGGGATGAAACATGAGGACTGGGAATGGCTGGAGGGAGATGGGACTGGATTGCATCTTTTTCTTACTAATTCTGTTACTTGATGACCATGTAAAGCCAGGGTAAGGAGTCTTGGTATTAAGGTATTTGAGGATTTGAAATGGCTTTGCAAAAAGGCATTCAGCGCCAGTGAAGTGATGCCCCTTATGTGATAATTATGTATATTTTTCCTGCATAAATGGGGCCTATTTTCTCAAGGCACTCTGACCACTTGTCTCCCAGCACTCCTAGCAGCAGATATCCAGACCATAGAAGGGCAAAATAACCAACAAAAGCATGTGTGTTTTTCCAGAGCTAAAATCTTGCAAGCCAAGGTAGAAATTCTTACAGTTACATCATTCTCAAAACTAACCCACTTTAAGAAATACATTCTCTTAATGGACTTGAGGACACCATGGGGCAGGGGGAGGGTAAGCCGGGACGAAATGAGAGAGTGGCATGGACATATATACACTACCAAATGTAAAATAGATAGCTAGTGGGAAGCAGCCGCATAGCACAGGGAGATCAGCTCCGTGCTGTGTGACCACCTAGAAGGGTGGGATAGGGAGGATGGGAGGGAGATGCAAGAGGGAAGAGGTATGGGGATATATGTATATGTATAGCTGATTCACTTTGTTATAAAGCAGAAACTAACACACCATTGTAAAGCAATTATACTCCAATAAAGGTGTTAGAAAACAAAAACATTCTCTTGTTCTTTGTGGAGTTTTAGATATGTGATTTC